GCAGATCGTCGGACGTGGGCAGCGGCAATTCGAGATATCCATGAAGCCGGCTTATCCTCTCCCAGGACCCAGCCGCCGTAAAGTAAAGTAAGTAGTGCATATCCACCGTCCCGTCCTGGATTTGACTGACTATCTCTGAAGACAAAACCTAAACAAACATGAATTGGAGATTCGATTCAGCCCTAGCATGAACTGGTTGGCACAGTGGTAACATACGCCTTCTATGCAATGGGTCCCGGACGGGTGGATATGCACTACTGATGGGCTTTAATAAGAGCGAAACTCGAATCTAGTGCTTCCGAGTGTATGGTTGACTAGTAGAGCTGAGGAATGTGCTTGAATTTAAAGTTTGAAGGATAGTCAGTCCTACTCAGTTAAGCAATATCAATTATCCCACAATACTGCTCACAAGTAATTTTGAGTTAAATACGAAGAACGAATATATTTGTTCTACCTGGTGGTTCGTTATTGAAGACTCCGTTTAAAAGTTACTCCATTGTTTGTAACGATCTCCTCACAGGATCAAAAGCATTGCGGAGGCACTAGTCGCAATCTGTATGTAGCAACAGGCGCAAAAGTGGTACCATCAAAGCCGCTCGTTTTTGGCTAAAAAATGTCTCATCCATATTCAGAATAAGGAACTGAAGTGAGTATGTGATCACTGGGAGGCTTTCGCGCAAGAGTACTCCAGCTTAGTATGGGGTTTATTTGCGACTGAGGCCAGCTGCTTTGGCACCTGGCTTCCTTTGGCCATCCACTCCCACTCACTAGAGCAAAAAGAACACGAGGAGGGGCAGTTTCCCGGTAAAAAACCCTTCTAAATGAGCGTAGGAGCGGGGTACCTGGGGCTTCCTCCTGACGGTGGAAGAAGTCTTTGCACTTCATTGGACAGGTATCACCCACCCAGGCTGGGCAGCCCCAACCAATAAAGTGCTGTCCCGTCCACGTTTTACTTATCTCATTGGGTGCATGAGACTAAGGGCCGATCCCGAAAAGCGGACCGTCAACCAACGTATCAGTGACCAACAAACTTAATCGACATTCAAAGGCCTTGCGTGAAAGGTATCCAGAATCTCCAACACGGGTGCTTCGTTCACGCTCCTGCTTTGATTCTACTCCCCACTGCCTTGTGGGTCAAACTTTTGAGTCAAAGACTCCAGTTAGGGTTCCGAAAGAAAATTCTCATCTGTCCACTTCCTCTTTTCACTCCCAATTCTCAGGAGGTGTATCTGGTTCGCAGCACCCATGAGATATCACTCAGCGTTCAACTGATGAGGTCAACCACTCAGAGGCTATCAGCTTTTTAAAACCAAAATCTCCTCTTTACCTAGCCGCATTTAATGTCCGCACACTCTACCAGAACGGTCAGCAAGCTTCCTTTGCTAGAACCATTAAAACCTTCCATTTGGATGTATGCTGTGACTCCGAAACACGCATACGAGAACCTACTTCAATCATTTTCCTGCGTTCTGCAGATCCAACCTCATCCTTTTGCTTCACTCTCCGTGTGTCAGGCGATTCGACATCCGAAGCTCGTGGTATTGCTGGTGTCGAGATTGCGCTGTGTCAAGGCCGATCGTTCACTTCTCGACTGGATCCCTGTTGGTTTCTGATTTTGCGCCGTACGTCTGGATGGACGGATCAACAGCCACAGAACGAAGCATCGAGGCTTATTTGTCGTACTCTCGTATGCACCGACTAATTGCAGTTTGCCAGAAATAAAGGATGAATTCTACAAGGACCTCTCTCAACTGCTTGATTTACCATGTAACTCTTGACGTGTAAANACATGTATACAATCCTAAAACGGTAACACAATAGCGCAAGGAATGGTTATAACTCCATTAGTAATGAAAATAATGATACCTTATCTATGTATTTCCAGAAGCATCAATACAGTCTGGGTTTGGCATCTTTGGTTGAGGTTTTTATTCCCCCCCCCCTCAATGGAAATGTTTCTATACGAAAGTTCTGCTGATTTTCTGTCCACATTCATTCAGTGAAGCAGCTTAATATTTACCATTAGGGATGCATAAAGCATTCCCTTGAGTTGACTCGAACAACCATATCCCATCAGTGTCATGGGGCTGCACGTGGTAGTTTGCATCTCCGCTGAGATTACTTTTGTAGTATCTTTTGGCCGCTGCGTAACATTCATTTTCGCGTGTGTTTCAGGCCTCATAATTTCTCCTTGTCGGATTGTTCCACATACGATTCGATTACGCCTCACTTCCGATCAGAGAAAATGGCTCGCAATTACTGGAGAGGTTCTCATTAGTAAGTTTCATTCGATAGCGATTTTTTTTTCTGTGTGGTTCTCGTTCGTCTAAGTTCAGTTCACTTGTGGTTAAACTTTCCCTTGCTTAGTTCTCCGTTTGCTCTAAAAATAAGGAACTGAAACGTATTGCAAATCAGATCATTGTCGGGAGGAGAAATTGTTTTCTGCCATTTATAATCATGTATTAGTATTGCCGTTATCGAGAGGTTGGGCATTATCAGCATAGCAATTGAAAAGGAATTATACGGGCTCTATTCGAAAGACAGTGGCTACATCAGAGCTGAATTATGCTGAATGCTTCGTTCACAAATAAGTCCATCTTATTCATAGTTTTCTGCTAGGTGACAGCCCTTCCGCTATCCATGATCTGGGCAAGCGCTCGGTGGCGTACAACTCTGCCCTCCTTGTTATCCTAATACACTGTAACTGTATCCATATCCTTCCGTTCTAGACCCCAATGCCCCTATATTTTGATACTGTTGTTGTTGCATTCTCACTGGGATTGTTCGCAAGCCAGTGACATTATATATATCGTGTAAATGGAAAATGAAAATAAACGGTCTGCACAGCTACCCGGTGGCCGAGTGGGTAGCATACTTGCGTTTTGCCTCTGAGGTCCTGGGTTCTGAGTTGAGTGGATCGGTTCGGACTGCTGATGAGAGCCAACCAGATCAAAACAGCTATCCAGCGCTTCCTAACTTTTCAGCTNATATATATATATATATATATATATATATACGTGTATTTGTGTGGCGAGAAAATAAAACACAACGGAAGCATACGCAAACAGCTGCTCACTTATGGACAGAGGAGATGATCCAGTGAAAATAAACGTCAGATCATCAGAAAAAAAGTGGCGTAATTTCACACTCCTTATAGATGAACAATTTACGATTATTTTGGATAAGTGTCTTATAAACTTATAAACCTCCATCGACATCAACTTCCTAGTTTTGTGTAATTCCGCAATAAATGGTTGCTTCAGAATTAATGTGTTACCCTTTTTCCTACACTCCCAAATGTCAGCCTCGAATGGTTGCTAGACCGTCAAGATCTGATGGTTCACCGTATAGGCGATTTGAAAATCCTCGGAAGCGAAGAAGAATACCAAAAAGTAATGATTTTTTTCACCGAAGGTAAGTAGTTGTTATTCTGTGTTACGTGTTATTCACAAACCAAATTTGTCACCAGTGATTCAGGCGTTTGGCAAAAGCGTCGAAGTAAGACAACAAGTTGTTGCTACGGCAACCGTCTATTTCAAACGTTTCTACAGCAGGTAAGTGATTACGCTTCTGGATTTCGGATAGCTGTCAATTAGAAACTCTTTAAGCTCCATTGATCCATGGCTTATGGCACCATCCTGTTTGTTCCTGGCTTCGAAAGTTGAGGTAATTTCGATATGGAGTTTATTTGATTTCAATCATTCCAATCAGGAATTTGGACAATTGTCACAAAAAAACCTAATAACATCTTGTCGAAATGTTGGTGAGTGTTCGTGTAACTATTTTTCTTTTTGGTTCGTTTCTATCGCATGTATGGGGGTGATACGACGAACAAACTAATTAGCATGTAGATGCGTGTGACCGCTTCAATCAAATTGGTTACGTGCAGACTGCAAACTGATACTTTTTTCCTCAAGCTCTGCGCTGAATTCAGACAATAGTTTTCCTCATACTTTGATCAAAACGCTTCACCAGATAAATGGAAATGGTAAATTTAAGAACATTACTGTTATTTTTATCCAAAAGTTGTCGAACGAATTAACCAATTTGGTCGCAGCACCATTTTGTAAATAAAGAATTTCAAGTTGTTCGTAAAATTACACGATTAAATAACTAGCAGTTCTTCGAAATTAATTGAGTCTAATCACGTATTGTCACAGGGGTGCTGGTGCGTTATACATTTGAGGCCTAAAACTGGGCGCACCACAAGGTCAAGGATAATTTGATAGTAGTCATTAACCCTAGGTATCGTTTTCGGCTATCTATTGGGATGGCAGTGACCAAACTGTTTAAGTAGCTTTTTCTGGAATGCTTTTATCCTGAAGACCAGAGGTTTGAATCCTACCACCAACACCACCCCACTTTAGTAGGCAGTTTTGGTGTCTTTCGGCTATGTACAACACTTGGCCTATTGGGAGCCTTGTGCAACATGCTACCCCGGTCACAGAGCTTATGTTATCGTTTTCCGTTTGAGGACAATAGATCCTCGTGACGAGATTAATATCTTTTATTTATCACACAACAGTGCGTGTTATAAAACAGTAAGAAGTTGAGTAAAATGTGAAGGAGTGTAAGTATACTGATCCTCACTTACCTTAGCTTACCTTTTTACTTTTCTGAGATTAAATGCTGAGCTAGAATGAGTCATCCCCACTGATTTATTTGACCGTCTACCCATGTGCGGCGTCCAGCGACGATGTCGGCGTATAATGGAAGCCAGTTCTCATTTTACCTTCATATGCTATGTACGACTTTAGGACCCAGATTCTCTGTCTTTTTTGACTGGGACGATTCACGACGGTGCCATCCCGAACATAGATTTGAAGAAAAAGTTGATCTTAGGACCCCCAAAATGAGATGTTGGAGAATGTGGTAGAACTACTGAAAAAGAGGGTCTTGCGGTGCCGGACGAATTCCTTTTTGGCTAGTCGGTCGTGTCACTTGCCTTCGGCGTATAGCGCAGACTCAAGTGAGCAAAAACTTCGGGCCTTTGGAGGTATTGGGCTCCTACTGACTGCGTCAAGCTGCCGTAGTTCCTGATTAGAGGGGTGACAGCTAGATAAGCTTGCACCTTAGAGCGGAGGCTGATTGCATTTCCTGTTCGCAGGGTATTTGAAACTTGGGCGTATTGTGCCGACTCGCCGTTGATTGTGTTCGGGTGTTGTGCTGGGACCGCCGAAATCAAAATAGCTTTGGTCTTAGAATTATATTTAATTTCAAAGGTGCATTCGTCGTGTATACAGCAAATAAAGCGTGAACTGAAAAGCCAGGGAACACTGGACAGCTGTCTCGACCTGG